GTGTGCGGAAATCAGTTCTCGGGTAGGGATTGGCTGCATGTGATGTTCCCGTGCTCTCCACGCTCCTCGCGCACCACTTCCTTGAAGTTGTTTACAACTTCGAGCGCTTAGTGAGCTTCCGCTAGGTGCCATCTTTAAGATGAGCGCTGTAGGCGATGGGCGGGGGCGCTCCACACAACCCATCTCTGCTTATTGTGTTTTTGGCACTGTAGCCTGGAACACTGCATCTTAACCATTTTGAAAATCTGATGAAATATGTGTGTCGTCTGTCCAGTGAAATGTACAGGCAAATCAGTTTGCCACAGTGTCAGCAGATGCATGGACTCAGGTCTCTCTGCCCTCTTCTTCCTCACTCCTCTCTGTCCACTAGGCTTGCATTTCGGCTCGGGACAGCCTGGGGGCCCAGGCTGTGCACAGGGCAGCAGTTACTGGGCAGAACGCAGCCATTCGATTCCTGGTGTCTGATCTCGGCGTTGACGTGGATGTGAGAGCAACATCAACCCACCTAACCCCACTGCATTATGCAGCTAAGGTCTGTTTTTTCTCATGACAGTGCCCCTGTTTCCATAGGTGTGCTTACTCCTTTGGACAGTTTTGTAGTCTTGGTTTCTTTGGCTTCGTCTTCCTGGAAGAAATTGCCCATGATAATAGTCCTGAAATATTCCTGATTCTGAGGCCATTTATCCTGTAAAATTAAAGCTAACTTGGGACCAGCAGTTGCTATGTCACTGGACTCCCACGTAGTCAACCACAGTTCGGGTCCTGGACCCGGTGGTTTAAACTCATGCCAGGCTCATGTGCGTGTGTGCCCAAGATCCCGAGAAGAGAACGAAGAAAGGATTGCGGCGTGGACATCCCCCCTGGAGGGTGATTTCTCGCTTTCTGTCTCTCTGTCTCTCTGTCTTTCTGGTGAGTGCACGTGCTCTATAGCAGAAACCTCTCCAAAAAAAGAAAGAGAAAAGAAAGAAAAAAAGCTAACTTTTCTAGCCAAAGCTAGAAAAGACCCTTTACTTCATACAGTGCCACAGAATGCCTTTAGATATGCCTCTTCTGTCTCCACTGCCACCTCCATTTTATTTTCAGGAATAATGTCACTTGAAGCCATAGAGATCCATTATATGAAACTTAGAGTTCTTTATCCTTATACAGAATTTCAGAAGTTAAATATCTTTAACCACCACAAGGGAATTGCATTTACTGGGCTCTCTAATATATAAAATGCTGAACATATGCAAAAACTTCTTAATGAAAAGCAGCTATTATAAATACTAGGAGTCTTGTGTATTATTTTTACGATTATTCATTGGCTACATGAAATTACTTGTTTTTTTGAATAGCAGAAATAATTTTTTTTCTGAACATGTACACTCTCCTCCCTGGTTTCCCCTTTGTGAGCAGAGGGTATGGTCTGTGGCCACAGAGGGAGAAAAGCTAATGAGTCCTCTCATAGGAAGGTTAAACCTGGAGCCTCTCCACACACTAACAGACCAACTAAACAGAATGTGCAAATCACTTTATAAACAATGATGTTTGGGCTAGTGCTGTAGCTTAGTGATTAAGAGAACCAGATCCCACATGGCCAATTGCAGCTTCAAATCCCAGCTCTGGTAGCTTGAAACACACACCAGATACATGTGCATGTGTGCCCCAAGTCCTGACAGGATAGAGCAATAGAGGAGAAGGCATTGCAGAATGACCACTCTTGGGGCCGGCAGGTGGCTTAGTGGTTAAGGGTGCTGGACTCCCATAGCCAACCACAGTTTGAGTCCCAGATCTGGTGGCTCACTTTGTTCTTTCCCTCTCTCTCACTCTGTCCCTCTGTGGTTGAAATTAAAAATAAAAATAAATAAAGTTAAATTAAAAAATAATTCTTAAATAAAAAGAATGACCACTCTCTACTGGAGGCGGTCCTTTCTCGTCACTGTCTGGCAAGCACACATGCCATCAGGCAGTTGGGAAAAAAAAATAACAGTAATAATGTTAGCTGTAACAGAAATCTCATTATGGGAGATTAAAATCTTTTCTAGTTTATCCTAGTTTATCCTAACAATTTTAATGAGAGGAATATTTGCTAGAGAAATTCTGATATTGTGGGTTCTACATAAATCCCAAAATTTATACAGATGAAAACCCAGCTGCACTGGGTCAGTAATTTGGCTTACAAAAATGGTGATCTGCATTATGATCATTAATGTTACCAAAATAATTTATTTAGTGACCCACACTAAAATTTGTGAGTAATATGTGTTTTCCTTCTGATATAAAAATTTAATTTTAGTAGTTTCCTTCCTTTTTTAGAAAAGTATCTCATGTGTTAGAGTTTGTGTTTTTTTTTTTTTTGAGAGGATTTTTGCTATAGGGCACATGTGCTCGCCAGACAGAGAGAGACATAGAGACGGAAAGCGAGAAATCACCCCCCAGGGGGGATGGCCACGCCACAATCCCTTCTCCTCCATTCTCCTCTCGGGATCTTGGGCACGCACGCACACGCGCCCGGTGTGTTTTAAGCCACCGGGTCCAGGACGCGAACCGTGGTCGACTACATGGGAGTCCAGCAACTTAGCCATTACGCTAACTACTGGTTCCCTAGAGCTGGTGTTTGAAGGTTTGCTTTTGTTCTCATCACAATGGTAATGAATGTATTTCAACCCTCAGGAAGGACATAAAAGCACAATTCAGACTCTCTTATCCTTGGGTGCTGACATTAACTCTAAAGATGAAAGGAATCGAACAGGTATGACCTAATTTTACACATGGCTTTGAAAATTATTATTAAATTCAATATAAACAATATACATCCTTTTGTATTAAGAATACTGATTTTAGTATTTCTGTAGGAGCTCAGCAACTTTTCCTTAACATAATGTTGCCTCTGTTTGGAAAACTATAGATAGTTTGGACAGCTATAATCGATAGCATATATGACAGTGGCATGATTACTCATTGGTACTTTGTTGTTCCTATTGTTTTATTTTAAACCATAGCAATCTATGTGGCATAAAAGCACCTTCTATCTAATAATCATGACATCTACAATCTAGACATTGTATAGATTCTTCACAGCTCATCTTGTCTTTGGAGTATATTTAGAAACTTATGTTCACTACAATTTTTAAAATTTGGGACTCAGAAATATATTCTCAGAGCTAGTTTGTTAGATTTGGATTTTAGAATGAGCTTTCTTAATATTCCATTAGCCAAAGGCCTCAGAGGCATAGTAAGAACTTCATGATGCTTCAAGATTCACATAACAAAGTTCTCACTTAGGGCTAGACATGACAGCTACTAAGTCCAGGAAAGAACACAGACTTTCTCTTCAGTACTGGGAAATGGGACTAGTAATACTCTGGACTGTCAGCATACTAAAACCTTCAGCACTTATTCTTACACTCAGGATGAGAAGATTTGTCCACAGATTTTATTTATTTATTTATTTTTTTGGAGAGTTTTTTTTTTTTGCTACAGGGTGCTTGCGCTCACCAGAGAGACAGACAGAGACAGAGAGACAGAAAGCGAGAAATCACCCTCCGGGGGGATGGCCATGTCGTAATCCCTTCTCCATTCTCCTCTCAGGATCTTGGGCATGCATGCACACGTGCCTGGCATGAGTTTAAGCCACCAGATCCGGGACTTGAACCATGGTCAACTACATGGGAGTCCAGCGACATAGCCATTACACTAACTGCTGGTCCCCACATTGTTCTTATTCATGGTGACATTTTTACTTAGAATTCAGCAAAACCTCCAGGAGATTTCCTGTACCACTTAAAGTGTGTACTGACAACACGTGGGAATGAGCCTGAGGAGGACCAGCCTCCTCCTAACTTGCTCCATTGCTTTAGGCCATCTCTCATATCCTATCTCCTGGGTTTGTTAGCTTTGAACCCAGTCAGGTTAATCAGAAAAGTGTATTGGTCCAGTATAGGTAAGGTCATAGAAATGGATTATGAAAGTATATAATCTGTGTAATTGAGGAGATCAGATAGTGATACAGTAGTGAAACAAAGCACTCTGCATGGCTGGCTTATCCAAATAGGAAGATTTCTGGACATGAGCCCAGAGCCCTCCCGAGTATACCAGACAAATGTGCACCTGTGGTCTAGGCTGTCTGGGATGGAGTGTACTCCTTCTTGAGAGTGCTGTCTTTCTCTGTGTCTCTCTGTCTCACTTGTGGAAGAAATAAATTGACTTATTTAAAAAATAGTCTGTATAATTGAAAGAATCAATATTTTTATTGGGCACCACTGTCTCAAGAGATCAGTATGTTCTGGGTGTTATATACTAAGTATACTAAGTGAGTTTTTATTCCCCTACCCCCCCAGCTCTACATTTGGCCTGTGCCGGTCAACACTTGGCTTGCGCTGAGTTTCTCTCACAGTCTGGGCTGAAGGATTCTGCAGATGTAACTGGTACCCTGGCTCGGCAGCTTGCAAAGAGCAGACATCCTTCAGGGCTTGGCCACAGTGCACTGGCATGAGGATGTTTCTGGAAGAAGGCAATAAAGTGCATGGTAATTTCTCTCCTGCTCCTTAAGTCTTTGGCGGATTTAGTAAAATCAGTCATAGCCAACATTTTCCATTGCCTCCCCCTTCCCTTCCTTCTCTTATACACTCCACTCCCACTGAGGGTTCCCTGGATGATTGGCCCTGGGTCCTTAGCTCCATGGCTGGCACCTTGTGGAACCCTGATCACAGTTGTGATCTTGCCATAGCCTGTATTTCACTCTTCCACCATTAAAGTGGAGTTAGATGACATTTATGAAGTCAGTTCTTAGAATCTTTAGAGAAATATATAATAGGCATGAACGTGATATTGTATACACACTTTTATGTAAAAACATGAAATATAATAAATACTGTTTTATAAGACAATGATATATTTAGAATATCACATAAGGGCCAGTTGGTGGCACAGCAGTAATGCAACTGGAACCATGTGGGAAGGTCCTTGGTTCATGTCCCAAGACCTCTGTGTATGTAGCAGGTACCCATGATCCAGGCTGGCTGAATCTGGGGTTGATTGCAACATGAAGACCTTGGTGATCATGCTTGTCATTCTGTCTCTTTTTTTCTCCTTCTCTGTTTGTTGCTTATGGAAAAAAGCAATTAGTAAACTTTAAACACATATATATAACATAAGATGCTATTAACTTAAACCATAAAATATAAGTGGACTATTTAATTTCTTTCTTCATAGGCTTTTATTTGGCCATTACAATGGTCCAAGTTTGAAGGGACCAGCAGAAAATTTAACGGTTATGTTGGTGGGCTCCCACTTAGTCAACTGCAATGCAAGTCCTGGACTGGTGACTTAGAACTCACACTGAGTGTATGTATGCATGCATGCCCAAGATCCCAAGAGGAGTGTGGAGGAGAAGGGATTGAGGCATGGCCATTCCCTAAGCGCGGTGATTTCTTGCTTTCAAGAAAATCCAAGAGATTCTTGCTATAGAGCGTGTGTACTCACTGGTAGAGACAGAGACAGAAAGAGAAAAATCACTTCCCAGGGGGGATGGATACATCATAGTCCCTTCTCCTCCATTCTCCTCTCAGGATCTTGGGCACGCACACACACACGCCTGGCATGAGTTTAAGCCACTGGGTCTGGGACTCGAACTATAGTTGACTACATTGGAGTCCAGCGACATAGCCATTATGCCAACTGCTGGTCCCTAAAAAAATTTTTTTTAATTTTATTTATTTTTCAAAATTCACTATAGGGCACATGCACTCACCAGAGAGAGACTAGGGGGAAGCGGGTGGGAAAACAAATCACCAGGTCTGAGTCTCTCAGAGACTGCCTGTGGGAGTCCAGAGCCTCCACCATGCCACCTGCTGGCTCCCCTAAAAATATATATTTTTTTAATTTATAGCATCAGAGCTAGCAGTTGGCATAGTAGTTAAAGTGCTAGACTGTCACTTGACCAACCATGGTTTGAGTCCCAGACCTGGTAGTGTGCTTTCTCACTTTCCCCTCTCTCAAATGCCCTATACCAAGTTTAAAAAATAATAATCATAATAATAAATAAAATTAAATTTTAAAAAATTGTAGCCTCTTAAACAGATGTAAGGTAGAATGAAGCCTAGGATATTTAGATTATTTTTCCATTTTTTCCTTTTTCTTTTTTAATCATTATCTCATAATTACAAAAAGTAACTATTAGTCCAAATCAGTCTTTTAAAAAAATTGTGTGCATCAGGCCACACGTAGATCTCCAATGGTCAACACAGTTTGAATCTCGACCCTGATGGTTTGAAAAACATGCTGAATACATCTCTAGATTCTGACAGTATGGAGAAATGAAGAAGGGATTGTGGAGTAGCCACACCCTATTGGGGAGGTCCTTTCTTCCTCTCCCTGCCTCTCTGTCTCTGGCAAGCACATACACCCTCTGACAGTTAAAAAAAATGGTATGCATCACTCACAGGCAAGATTTAATCTTCATACAACGTAATTAAGCAAATACTTGTTACACACCCACTTTATTCTCAGTATTGTGCTGTGTTGTAAACAGTAAGAATTCCAGTTCCTCTTTAGTTATTCCCAGATGCTGTAGGTGAATTCATATCCCTAACCACCAAATAAATGTTTCTAGTAGAAACAAAATCCTGTCTTGTGACCACTAAATCACACATTCTCTGCTTCTGCACTGATTCAAGATGCGATGACCATTTTCCTGTGGCTTCAGAGGTATCTTAGCATCTTGCCTTTTGGGTCTGAAGATGATCTTGTTGTGTGACTATTCCAGTGTGCAGGTGGGGCCCGAGGTCAGCCTGGTCCTGGCCTTGTCTCCCCATAGCACTTCCTTGCAGCTGCTGTACGCACCATCAGTTCCCATTCCTAGTGCTGCTTTTGTCCTTACAAGCTTGCTAATAGTTTTAAGTTGCAGTTGCACTTTTGTTTCCCAGTCGTTCAGATTCAGACACCTTGTAATAAGAACCTTGGCCGCTAGGTGCTGCTGCTGCTGAAACTACTCAACAGCCAGAAGTGGTAGTGATTATATTGATAACATTAATTATGGCAAAGAGAGTGGTAATCATATATTCTGTAATAAGATATTGAGCAATAGGAATGGCAGTGATGATAATAATTAATGACATTCTCTCACTTCCTAATTATAGCTCTCGTCCTCATTTCCTTTGGGTTTTCACCTAATAGTCACCTTATTGAGGCCCTCTCAAGCCTCCCTATCTAAAATTTTAGTCTTTTCCTCAGTGTTTGTTACCTTCTTTCTCCAGTTTATTTTTTCCTTAGCATTAGCCACTAGCAAATACACCTTATAAACTGAGTTACTTATTTTGTTTATTGTCTGTCTCCCTTACTGATATGTAAGCTTCTCAGACAGGGTTTTATTTTTTTTCTCTTTTGTTTACTTAACTGGACCTATAGGGTCTAGGATGATCCCTGGTATGCAGTAAGTTTTAGAATGAAATATTATGTGATTGGGCCAGCAGGTGGTGTGGTGGTTGAGGTACTGAACTTAATGTGTGTCTCTGTAATAAGCACATGTACCTTAAAGCAAATTTAATAATAATAATAAATAAATAATTCAAAAAAATTTTATGTGATTAATAAATGAATAAGAATAATAATTTTGGGGCCAACAGAAGATGTGGTGGTTATAGGCGTTGGACTCTCACATGGCTGATTGAGGTTCAAGTCCCAGACCTGGCAGCTTGCTTTCTTACTTTCCCTCTCTCTCTCTTTCTCTCTCACTCTGTCCCTCTCTAGTCAGATTTAAATAAATAAATTAATTGAATTGAATTAAATCATTTTTTAAAAAAGAATAATTCTATGTGTGTTGGAGCACTTAACTATATGCCATAGTATATACTAAGCACCTTACCTGACTTGTCTCATTTTGTCCTCTGGCCCTTGCACCTTCAGCAGCACCTTCAAATTAATTCCATCTCCAGCATCCTTTCTTCTGCTTATTTAATGCAATGCCAATCAAAGTACCAGACACATTCTTCACAGATCTAGAAAAGACAATCATAAAATTTGTCTGGAATCATAAAAGACCCTCTATTGCCAAAGCAATTCTACACAAGTAGAGTGGAGTGGGTGGCATTCCCACTCCCTGACCCAAAAATATACTACAAAGCTGTGGTAATCAAAACAGCATGGTACTGGCACAGAAACAGACACATGGACCGGAGGAACAAAATTGAGTCCCCAGGAATAAATTCCCAAACATACAGTCAACTGATTTTTGACAAGGGGTTCCAGTCAATCCAGTGGGAAAAGGAAAACCTCTTCAGCAAAGGGTGCTGGAAAAACTGGATTTCCACCTGCAGAAAGATGAATCTGAACTCCTACCTCTCACCTTTGACAAAAATCAGGTCAATGGTGACTTAGAACTCACGTCAGGCGTGTGTGCGTGTGTGCCCAAGATCCTGAGAGGAGAATGGAGGAGAAGGGATTGCGGTGTGACCATCCCCCCTGGGGGTGATTTCTTGCTTTCTGTCTCTGTGTCTCTCTCTGTCTGGTGAGCACATGCGCCCTATAGCGAAAACCTCTCCCCCCCCCCCAAAAAAAAAAAACCCCATCAAGTCAAGGTGGATCAAGAATCTAAATCTAAGACCTCAAACTATAAAACTGCTCCTGGAAAACACTGGAGAAACTCTGGGAGACATTGGTGCAGGGCAAGACTTCTTAAATAGACAAGTGGGATTACATCAGACTAAGAAATTTCTTCGACACACTTCTTTAAAGGAAAGTGTATACTTGATACAACGCCTAGGCACTGTTGAACCCAGTGCAGTCTGGCTTCATCACTGCTTTCCTGTGTAGACTATTCCTGTAGGATTACCAGTGACTTCCTAATTGCCAGATCAAGTAATAAATTTTTAGCCCTCATGTTGCTGATCCCTTCAGTTCAATTGTCAGTCATTCCATTTCCACCTTCTACCTTCTGGACTCCTACCACCTGTATTAGCACACTTTTGGATTTTTTCTTTCTGACTTTTCCTTCTCTGTCTCCATGAGCTTCTCTGCTGGGGCCTGTTTCTTAAATGCTAGTACCCCGGGATCTGTCTCCCTCTCTCTTCCATTATTCTATTTTATGTCTGCTCCTGGAGTACTCTCATCCATTCTCCTCATTTCAGCTATTCCCTAATATTGGGACACTCATATTTCTCTCTCATACCCTTACTTTCTACCCCCCTGCTATGCATTTTTGCATGAGTCTTGTAAGACTAGTTGACACTCAGTTTATTCAAGGCCTAGCTTTTCCCATAGCCTATTTACATGCATGCTATGTTTGCTGCCTCAGCTGACGGCTCTGCAGATCACTAGCCGCCCAAGTTGGAAACCTACCAGTCACCTGTCCTCTGCAGGGAGCACCAGCCATTTCCCCCTGTTGGACAGCTCTCCTGTCTGTCCACTCCACTCCATCTCTACTTTGATTCCCTATTCAATCTCTCATATTCTCATCCAGGACCATCCTGCAACAGCCTCTTCTGGCTTCAAGTCCTGCTTGAAGCTGCTCTGGCTTCAAGTCCTGTCTGCTCCTCTGGCTTCAAGTCATGTCCTCCTCAAATCCATCTGCCATGTAGCTGCCAGAATACTCAATAATTGGACCAAGGGCATTGATAATGAATGGTAGTTTAGTGTGACTCCCTTCCTACAGAACACACTGCACTTTCACTAGGTTCCTAACACTTCAACCAAGACCCACTTCCATGAAGGCTGTCAGCTGGTCCCCAGTGAGTGTGTGTTATTAAGCTCAATTAGGGCAGAGGTTGCCAGAAAGAGAAATCAATAAAGGTTGTAATCACTTGAAAGTAGCTAAAACCTAACATATATTACCCACTTTCCCCTAAAAACAGGAAAGAATGAAATCATACAGGAAAGTATTTAAAAGACAAAATAGAAAAGGGATTATAAAATGAAAAAAAATAAAGGCAAAACTCTGGCTAAAGAAATATAAGCGAATTATGAGATGCAAGCTCAGGTAATGAGAAAAGGGAAGAACAGGCACGGAAGTTAATTCGTTACATTTCTAAAATACACCAGCAGGTGGCAGACCAGAAAAATGTCTTTTTTAATATTTAAACCTTTTTTAAAAAAAGTATATTATGAAAATGTAGAAAATAATAAAAGAGTAAAACAAAAATAATCTATAGTTCCGCTGCCTATCTAGTTCATTTTGAAATGCTGTAACAAAACATCTAAGCCTGGTTAATTTTATTTTTTTAAGAGTGACTTTTGCTATAGGGTACATGTGCTTGCCAGAGAGACAGAAAGCTAGAACTCACCCCCAGGGCGATGGCCACACTGCAGTCCCTTCTCCATTCCCCTCTCAGGACTTTGAGTATACACTCACACGTGCCCAGTGTGAGTTTTAAGCCGCCAGGTCTGGGACTTGAACCACGGTTGCCTACTTGGGAGTTCAGCAACGTAACCATTATGCCACTTGCTGGTCCCAAGACTAATTTTTAAAGAAAAGAAATTTATTTTTCTGAGTTCTAGAGGCTGACAAGTCCAAGATCAAGGCACCAGCAGGTTTGGTGTCGGTGAGGGCAGCACCAGGCTTCCAAGATAACACCCTGATGACGTGTCTCCTGGAGGGCACAAACTCTGTGCCCTCACCTGATAAAAGAGCAAATTCCTTCTATCAAGACGTTTTTGTTTTTTTAGAGAATTATTTATAAATATATATTTGAATTTGCTATAGGGTATATGTGCTCACCAGAGAGAGACAGAAAGAGAGAGAGAAAGTGAGAAAGCCAGCCACCAGGTTCAGGACTCAAACTGCTGTTGGCCATGTGGGAGTCCAGCACCTCAACCACCACACCACCTGGCTCCATCATTAAGACCTATTTTAGGGCACGAAGGAAGTAGTCCTCATGACCTGATCACCTCTCGAAGGCCTTGCCTCTTAATACCATCACATCAGCCATTAAATACAACCTTGGTTCGAGTCCCAGACCTGGTGGCTTGAAACTCACGCCTACCGCGTGTGCATTTGTGCCCAAGATATTGGGAGAAGAATGAAAGAGAAGGGATTGCAGTGTGGCCATTCCCTCTGGGGTGGGAGAGATTTTTCACATTCCCTCTCACTGTATCTCTCTCTCTGTCGAGCAAGCTCATGTGCCTTGAGGCAAAATAACCTCTAAAAAAAAACCTGTGAGACCCAGGAGTAAAAAAAATGCAACTAGACCCACATAAGAAGGGTCTTGGGTTTTCACCCCACAACCTTTTTGAGCATGCTGGGCATGGCCCTGCTATGATCCAGGCTATGTAAGATAGGAGCATCATGGCTTGAAGACCCTGTTGAGGGTGCTTCTATCAAAAAACTAATGAATAATAATAACTGATGGGTCATCGGAAAAGTCATGATGCATTTTTGGATACAAAAGCAGAAAAATAACTTCATGATTTTTCTGACAACCAAATACTTAAAAATTATCTATGCCAGAAGGTGGCACAGTGGTTAAGATGCTGGAATCTCACATGGCCTACTGTGGTTCAAGTCCTGGACCTGGTGGCTTGAAACTCAACACCAGGCATGTGTGCATGTGCTTCCAAAGTCCTGAGAGGAGAATGAAGGAGAAGGGATTGCAGCATGGCCAATTCCCTGGGGGGTGATTTCCCACTTTCTGTCTCTCTGTCTCTCTGGCAAGCACATGTGCCCTATAGCAGAAATCATCCCCCCAGAGGGGATGGCCACGCCGCAATCCCTTCTCCTCCATTCTCCTCTCGGGATCTTGGGCACGCACGCACACGCACCCGGTGTGTTTTAAGCCACCGGGTCCGGGACGTGAACCGCGGTTTACTACGTGGGAGTCCAGCGACATAGCCATTACGCTAACTGCTGGTCCCAAGCAACTGTATGAATTATTTTTTAAAGGAATTTTTTTTTCCAGCTTTGTCATAGGGCACATACACTCATCAGAGAGGGATGGGGGCTGGGGAGAATGAAAAAGCATGTTCCGGGGTGGCGGCCACACCACAATCCCTTCTTCATTATCCTCTTTAATATTTTGGATGCACATACACCTCACGTGTTTTTCATGCTGCCAAGTCCAGGATTTGAACCTCACAACTGGCAATATGGAATCCAACCACCTTAACCACTATCCCACTGGCTGAACTTGAATGCTCTTTCATATTGTCTATACTGATTCTTTTATGTTGCCATTTTTGCTTCTGTTTGTTTGGTTATTAATAGTTTTTGCTCTAAGGTATGGGTACTCACCAGAGAGAGAGAGAGAGAAGTAGAGACAGGGAAAGTGAGAAGCCCACCTCCCCCAAGGGGGATGGCCATACCGCAGTCCCTTCTCCATTCTCATGTGTGGATTTTGGGTACACATGTACACACACCTGGCATATTTTCGAAGCTGCCCAGACTGGGATTCAAACCACACACTGGGCCATGTGGGAACCAGCTGCCTTAGCCATCATGCTACCTGGCTGGCTTATTGTTTGTTTTTTTTTTAAGGTAAGATGTAGACAGGATAATTAATAAAGCTTTGTCAGCTTTAGCTGGGGGCAGGTATAGAGATTAAGAAAAAGATGGTTGGATGTTGTTACTTGAAGACCCAGAGCTACGTGAATGGTTGGGAGATAGTCAAGCCCATGGAGGGGCCTGCCCACGCCATGCTCCCATAGCTATGTTGTGTGGTAAAGAAAAGGGAAAAGTGAGAAGGTAGAAAGAAATAAGAAGGTAAGATAACAGATTTTTTTTTCAGAGATGGTTACAACGTAATCTGTTTATAGACAGACCAAGGGCATGAGGAGGAAACTGAGCTCATGTTGAACAAAGGCACTTGCAAGGTCAGACATGGGCGTCAGAGGCCCTGGGAAGACTCTGCACAGGTGCAGAGGAACAGTTCCTTTTCAGAGGCATTAAAATAAAGGCTGAGTAGAGACCAGCAGTTGGCATAATGGCTATGTTGCTGGACTCCCATGTAGTCGACTGCAGTTCGAGTCCCGGACCTGGTGGCTTAAACTCACGCTGGGCGCGTGTGCGTGC